TATAATATATATATATATATATATATATATATAGGATATATAGATATAGATAGATAGATAGATAGATAGATAGATATAGATATTTAGATCTAGATATATATACATATGTATGTGTGTGTGTGTGTGTGAGTGTGTGTGTGTGTGTGTGTGTGTGTGTGTGTGTGTGTGCGTGTGTGTGTGTGTGCGTGTGTGTGTGTGTGTATCTTAGCTGTTGGTCCATACACATATATCATATATCATAATATTATATATATTTTATATTATGTAGACAGAAACTTGTACCATTCAATAGTAATGTAAATAGGACACCACTAACACAATAATAAGAAAATGCTACACAAGTTGTGCTATCTGACAAATAGAATGGGGAAATAGAAAGGGAGGAATGCCTATAAATGAACTTTGAACGATTAGTTTTACTTTGAACGATTAGTTTTACATTTCTCAAACTACTATTCTCAGACCGCCACCATTTCATAATGAAGTGTAGAGTTTAAACTATACTAACACAGTATATTTTGACAGTTATGTGATGACTACTTCACGCAAGTACATGTATTACATTAAAAAACACCAGGCTCACCTGAAATCATAAGTAAATAAAATAAGAAACTACAATGAAAGCTACACATGAATATTCATCTATATCTATATGTCTATCTATCTGTCTCTATCTTAATGTGCATATCATCATGCACATGCGTTACTACAACCATGCCTTCTGATTGCAGATTATTATAACACCTTTCCATACTAACATATCGGACGAAAGGGTAATGAAACTAACTATATTTGATAACTATATTAAGAGGCATCCACGAGAGATTATGTACATATTGCCCAATGAATGCAGTGGAAAATGAAACACATTTTGTTAGCCAGTGTCCTCACTATGAGACCAACAGAAACAGATTATTTCAGACAGTTACCACAATTTCTCCATCTTTTCATCATTTAGAAGATAACCAAAAGACTACGTTTCTACTAAGATCACAAAACCCACTAATTATGCAGAATGTGGGATTATTCATTATCCACTGCCTTCAAATAAGAAGTCCAACCTTACAATAGATAGCGTAGTAGTTTTTTCCTGACAGTAGTTGTCTGCCTCCTATTATTGCATTGTACCAAATAGCTATACTATCTTCGACTGTAATTTTAAGCAATTAGCCTTCGGGTATGATTTTGCAAATAAAAATTAACGTATTAGCCACTAACATCCTCGTTGATGAGCCTTGACGTTAGTAAGTCACTAGCTGTGTCATATATTTGTTAGTGTAAGTATAGCACACCCGGTGTATTACATGGCAAGTATAGTACCTTTGTATATCTGTATTGCAAGCCGTGGGTAGATCGGATGTCACTTCTACAAATCAACAATTCCCTTAAAATGATAGCCAAACCTCTATTTGCGGAGAGGATGTAGGACTCGGGAGCTCTAATAATAGGTTTGGTAACCAGGCTATTAAAATGATTCTGCGGCCTTTTGTCACTATTCTAAAAGAATCTTTCCTAGAACAACATCACTATGGAATATGCTACCACGCAATTGTTTCTAATATGGGTATAACCTTAAACTTTTCAAGTCTAAGTTCAACAAACATCTGTCCTCACTGGCTGTAACCTAAAACATTTTGAGTGACTCCCATGATCCTTGTTTTGTGGTGAATCATGAAGTATGAAAAAAATCATGATGATAATAAAATAAAATAATGATTTTGACTTAATTCGTTTGACTGATTTTGTGTATTCCAGCTATGATATCCTGTCTCCTGCTGAATAGATGTGTACTAAAGATCTGAGCAATTCATTTTTAGCGTTTCAACTCTACAATTTAGGCCAAAACTGATTTTTTTCATGATTGTGACAAAATTTGAATCTATGAAAAACTACATGTCGTTTTAATCAAGCAAAATCGTTTTTCCGTAAACGTAGATTCGGTAAGGACAGGTAATGATACCGTGATCATGGCCTGATTTTCATGGACACAGACTTCAGGGAGTAACTATAGCCTCTCCAGTAGGCCCACATCACACCTTGCCTGTATGAACAGAAGCTCCCACAGTTGCCAAAGTAGCGGCCGTTGAGGTGGGAGTAGCCGCAGTGCCCAAACCACCAGCCGGCCTGTCCGTACCGCTGAGAACAGTGGCGGCTGCTGTCGACATCGTTGTCCCTGTCCACAGTGGAGAACCTGTGCCCGTTGTTGCGAACCATGGCGTTTCCCACGTTGCCTGAATACCCGGAAATGTGCAGGCGGTACCCGTCCGCTTCAGCAGACACCCTGGATGGCAATATTATGTTTTGTTTGGCATTGTTTGAAACAGTGTGGTCGTCTTTTTTATCATACATTATAATACATAAAATATAAATGTATAAAAATAAACATTATCAAACTTGTGTCATTAAAATGCACCGACCTGAAAACGCTGTAAAGGGCATATCGCTTGTTTCCAACCCAGTCTTCCAAATCAATTCTTAAACGGTGGTTTTTCAAGATTGTCAGGAGGTGGATGTTCTCGTTCCCAAGCCAGTATTCCCCGTTCTTGTTCCCAAACCCCTGTTTGTACTCCTCCCAGGTCCGGTTGAAGGGAACCGACCCGTCCTGTCGCCGCTGGATCACAGTCCAGCCGCCTCCTGTGTAAATGTACAATGGAGCTTTTGACACTATAGCAAATAATCTTGAACTTGGGTCCAGAAATAGATGCATACAGATGTCAGGCAAATATGTTGAGTGGTAGAAACGAACAGCTTTTTTAGGGTACTTATCCGGATAATAATGGCTATGCACAATTATATATACCCTAGTATACTACATCTTTAAAATCCTCATTTTGGGGCGAACAAAGAATCGATCCAAAGGCTACGTGCAGTGTGCGGAATGTGAATGTGATTTTCGTGTTGGCTACAAAATCCACTTGTACAAAATCCATGATAGATTAATGGTGGAACTTGTTTATGGAAGTAAAAACGGAAGACAAAATTCCAAAGTTAAATCCTTAAGCTCTAAATTTAGGTATAATATTCAACCGCAGCTAACTTACAACCACTGAGTGAAGAAAATGGTAATTCTACAGACATGACACGCCCCCATGCGGAATGGATCGTAGGTCTGCAGTACCTGCTGTGTCCATGTCACAGTAGACGTCCATCAGGGCAGTTGGCAAAGACAGGGGGACAGCCGCTTGCTCTCTGTCCTGACGCGTAATACTCATGGCAGCCTGTAAAACCTGCGGACAAAAAATATATATAATTATATATGCTTGTTTGACTTTGGTTTTATCATGATTGCAGCAAGACAATACAATAATGCGGACACTAAACAGCTGCTTACTGACAATTAGGCCTATTATGGACTTTATCACATCGATCTCCGTACGTGGTTCTGTACAAAGAAAATCGCACACCTGACTCCCCGCAATACACCAGGCTGCACCAAGGGACCCTGGGTAGCTTGTACACGTAGTACCCGGCACGGCACGCCTTCACCTGGATGGTTGTTGGGTATCTGCAGGCGTTACCTTGCCAGTAAGCGCACGCCTGGCGGGACACCTCTCCGTCGGCAACTGTCGGATGTGTTCCGTTCATCCACATCGGGGCGTAGGTGCCGCAGACGTTCATTGTCCCGGGGCTCTGTGTTGGCATCTGAGTCCCGGCCGGACCCATGAAGCGGTACCACTCCCCGCGGAAACCACGGTCACAGCGAATGGGGTTGCCCCTACCGTGGTTGACGTTCCTCCAGGCCTGATTCAGCACACGGTACACACTCGGACTGCAGGGGTCTGAAACACGGGAATGGAACTTGATTTCAGGATCCTGGAAACCGTAAATGACATTGATTATATAGAAAGGGCCTTGCTATTGTACTTACGTTTCAGAATGGTCGTGCTGGCATGTAAACCCCATGTTGAATCAGTACGATGGGTTATTGATAATATTAACATAATCTAAAATGTGACTTGGTCGGGATATCCACCTTCTCTTAACATGGACATCTTCCATAAGTTAAGTTTATCACAATTGAATGGGAACATTTGTACGGGATCAGTGTGTATCACTGATATTAGTTCATTTCACTTCATCTTTTTCATGTATGCCTACAGCTGTGCAGATCGACGTCCCTCACTTGGGACGTTGGAAACACGAAGGTATCATCTTCCCTGTTCCTTCGCTTACTGCACCGATTCTCGCTTAACGCTACAGACAACTTAACGCTTCAAATTAACACGACACTCCGTTAAAGAAATGTCGCCATTAAATAAAGATCTGTGTGTTTTCTGACGTTTAAAGCTTGTTAGCTCATCAGCTTGAGTGTAAAATAAGTTTTGTAGGTGGATGCAACGGCCCACTCCTGTACCACTTATCTTTCTGACTATAATAGTAAGTCATTTAGACAGACAAAAGAATAGGTAGGTACATGTAAAACACCATGTCATGTGAAACAAGAACCTACCATCGGAAGGATCCTCGGTCGTCCATGGTTCCTCGGTTGTCCTTGAATCCTTGGTTGTCCCTATTGTTGTAGGCGAGGTTGGAATCCAGAGTGTAAAAAGAGATCATCAACCTTCGTTACTCATAGATATAAATTGCGGTGTGCGTTTTGCATGAGGAAAAATACAATGTGTTTCAAGACATACTTCTTCGTGTATTTATGGCATAAAGAAATATGTCTTGAGATAAATTATACAAAGATGCCAAATCAACAGGAAAAACCTTTCTGAAACTAGATTGCAACTCAAATGAATATGCATCAATCTTTAAACAAATGCTACACGGCTCAGGTGTTGGGAACACTGTTGGATGGGGGAATATCAAGCACAAGTTTTGAAACATCTGTGTAATAAACAGCCAACTTAAAAGGTACTTTTTTATCAACAACAAAATGTCTTCAAGGACTTTGTTCACAGATTATCTTAATGATGATCGTAATTCGAAATGACTTAATGTTATCCCAAGAACACCCTTTTGGCAGATGACTGATTACCGAAGATTCTTACCAGGGATAATGGTCGGTGGTGGGCTGGGGTTTGCAGTAGGCGGACTCGATGTGGAACAACAGCACTGTGAAAACATGTAATATGACAGTTATTTTATACTGAAAGCGATTGTGTTGTCATTGTACCATCAGTAAGGCATTACATGCATGGATGGATTTGGCGTGTCACATGATTAGCGTTTCAACGGTTGTTGAGTAGAGGTTGTACTAGTATACGCGGCTACTATAAGAAATACTAGAGGGTTTCCAAGTATACTGGGGAAGAGCACAGTTCTGGTCCGAAAGTCAGCGAGTCCTTCATTAAGTCAAGTATTTAGTAATTTACCGTAAGTGCGCCCCAAGTTTTACTTACCGACCCAGGAGGACCAGTTGGACCGGTTGGGCCAGTGGGGCCTGGAGG